CCCGCCCTTCACTGCCCAAAGGAGTCCCAGAGTGGCTTACAAACTCCTTTCCCTTCCCCTCCCCACAACAGACTCCCTGTGAGGTGGGTGGGGCTGAGAGAGCTCTGGAAGAAACGGCTCTTTTTCAAGGACAGCTCTGAGAGAACTATGGCTTGCCCAAGGTCATCCAGCCAGGTGCAAGCAGAGGAGTGGGGAATCAAACCCGGTTCTCCCAGATTAGAGTCCACACACTTAACTGCTACACCAAACTGGAGATGATGATGAAATGACATTGCAAGTAAGCACCTCGCAAAGGAACATGAACAGTCCGTGGTGCTCCTGGAGGAGGCGGGATACGGTCAGGTTGATCTTCCCACTGCCGCCGAAGAGGGCTTCGCGACTGAAGGCCCCCTTGCGCTCCAGGGTCCACACGTCGATCTCCTCCTGGCAGTACGCGAAGGTGCAGTGGCCGGGATACCGACACTCCTCGTCGGCAGCAACATCTACGCATGACAGGGCAAGAAGGGGGGTCTGAGACCGGGGCCGAGACCACCCGTGGGCCTCCACTCTCGGAGAGCACGGTCGAGGCACGTCCTGGCCCCAGACCCCTCATGGCTGTCGCGTCGCCTGCGCCCGCCTGATCATCGCGTCACGCCAGCCTGGGTTTTCTACCAACCTGGGGAAGGGACCTTCGCATTGCTGTATTATTATTATTTATTTTATTATTATTTTATTCAATTTATACCCCACCCTCCCCGCTACACGGGCTCAGGGCGGCTTACAAGGAGGCATACGCCAATATAAAACATATTTAAAACCATTTAAAATCACTACAGTACAATATTATTGTAACACACCTCCCCCAACCCCACCAATAAAAATGTCTTTATTTTATTGAGCTATTAGAATATTTATTTCCTCGTGGTTCAAGGCGGCTTACAATAACAGGTAAAAGATCCCCAGCTAAAATCAGAGATAAAATAGCAAGGCACCTAAACACCTCCCCACTTCCCCTCCTTAAAAGATTCCTACCATTCGACTCCCACCCCCCCCAAACTCTGGCAAACAGGCAGGCCCTGCGGTGCCTCTCTGAAGACCCCCAAGGAGAGGGGGCCCCCACCTGTTCCACAGAGCCAGAGCAACAAAGGACCGGACTCTGGTCGATGCCACCCTAACTTGTGGGACAGCCAACAGGCGTGCCTGACAACCCATAAATAACACACAAGGACATAAGGGAGTAAAAGGTAAAGGTTCCCCTGGCTCGAAAGCCAGTCGAATCTGACTCTAGGGGTGCGGTGCTCATCTCCGTTTCCAAGCCGAAGAGCCAGCACTGTCTGAAGACGTCTCCATGGTCATGTGGCCGGCATGACTAGACGCCGAGGCACACAGAACACTGTTACCTTCCCACTGAAGCGGTCCCTATTTATCCACTTGCAATTTCTTGCTTTTGAACTGCTAGGTTGGCAGGAGCTGGGGCCGGAGACGGGAGCTCACTCCGTCACGCGGCACTCGGGTCTCTCTCGAACTGCCGACCGACCGACCGACCGACCTTCCGGTCAGCCTTTCAGCATCTTAACCACTGAGCCATCGCTGTCCTACATAAGGGAGACAGGCCTTCAAATATGTGGGGTCCCAGGTCATGGAGGGCTTTAAAGGTCATCAACAGCACCTTGAACTGAACTCTAAAGCCGCTCCAAGACATACATGAGGCTTCTGTCCTTCAAAGCACCAATGGAATGCTGATTCTCACCACTTTCCTCTCCCTCCACTGCTGTCCTTGCCCACTCCCAGAAAGACTACTCCTGGAATTGGGGGCTCAGCAGCCATCCCGTGACCCCAAGAATTATCTTGCCAGGGTTTGAAAGGGACAGGCGGGGAGAGGAGAAAAACACGTAACCTCTGTAGCCAATTCAAAGGATGGGAGGCAATGTATGCACAAAACCCAGGAGCCCATAGACCACTGGCTAATTCCCCACTCTCCGTGGAGATAGATGGGTCGCTGTGCTAGTCTGTCTGTAGCAGCAGAAAAGAGCAAGAGTCCAGTAGTACCATAAAGACTAATAAAATTGGAAGCACTGAGCTCATAAAAGGTAAAGGTAAAAGGTTTCCCTTGCTCGAAAGCCAGTCGAATCCGACTCTAGGGGGGGGGTGCTCGTCTCCGTTTCCAAGCCGAAGAGCCAGCACTGCCCGAAGACATTTCCGTGGTCACGTGGCCGGCATGACTAGACGCCGAGGCGCACAGAACGCTGTTCCCTTCCCACCGAAGCGGTACCTATTTATCTACCTGCAATTTCTCGCTTTCGAACTGCTAGGTTGGCAGGAGCTGGGGCCACAGACGGGAGCTCACTCCGTCACGCGGCACTCGGGTCTCGAACTGCCAAACTACCGACCTTCTGGTCTGCCGTTCAGTGTCTTATCCACTGAGCCACCACAGCCCCATACTGAGCTCATACCCTGCCACAAATTTTGTTAGTTTCCACTCTTCAGAGAAGCTGCTGGAAAAACGCACAAAGAAACACGTTTACCCCGTCAGGGAAGAGTGGGCTACAGGACTCAACACAACGGGGTGTCTCACGCTCTCTTGGAGCCAAGGATAAGGATTCTCCCGGAAGCTGGGCTCCTTACCTTTACAGATATAATAGGGCCCCACGTACTGCGTCTTCGTAGGCCTCGGCCTTATTTTTTTCCAAGATTTATCTTCGGAGTTCTTTATTCTGCCAATAAGAATGTCCTTCTTGCATTTGTGCTCTAGACTGGGGTGGTAGGTATAATCCAGCAACTTAGGGCCTGAAAGAAAAATCGGGGCAAGAGAACACCTGCTTTATCCTTCTTTGCAACCAATGCTCCCTCTACGGCCGTGAAGTCTTGTGAGCAAAATTTCTACTTTGTGGGCTACCGGCATTAAAGTTCTGAGTGAGCGATTTGGCTGCTGCGTAAATTAGTTTGCTCCGGAGCCCTCCTGCCTGAGCTCAGACAAAAATGTGTGAGCCGGAGGCTAAAAAACAGTGAGCTAGCTCACACTAACTCAGCTTAGTGGGAACACTGGTTGCAAGCAATGCTCCCTCTAAGCTGTGGAATCTTGTGAGCAAAAATCCTACCTTGTGAGCTTCTGGCATTAAAGTTGTGAGCAAGCGATTTGGCTACTGCATAAATTAGTTTGCTCTGGAGCCATCCGTCCTGAGCTGAGACAAAAATGTGTGAGCCGGAGGCTAAAAAATGGTGAGCTAGCTCACACTAACTCAGCTCAGAGGGGACACTGTCCCAACCCAACTGCATTCTGAAGAACGACGACCAACCACTTCGCTTCCAAATTCGTTTTCATAAGGTTGAACGCGGCCGACAGAATCGGTTGCACAGCTATTATCTTTCCAAATCCTTTACATTTCACCAAGAAGAAGAGAAACTTCCCAGGTCCGCTTCTCTTTCGTAACGGCCCACAGTGCACTAATTTGGCACCAACCCACTCCTCAGGTGTCTGTGCAACAGATTCCCCCCTCCCT